CTTGAGGCTCTGTCTCAAAAAAAAAAAAGATATGACCTGAAAAATCATGAGGTACTCTCAAGTTGTGACTTGAGAATAATGATTTATAGCCTTCTGAGTTATAAAATCAAAAAAACATTAAATATTCAGAAGAGTATCTTTTCCTATGCCTTTATTTTACTGAATTAAAAAAAATACTTTCATAGAATCAATCAAAAACTCCTAGTCCTCTTCATTCATTCTAAACCTATTCCATAATGCTAAGTTCCTTAGTAACTAAATTCTCCTATGTTGGGGTTTTTCTGGAACTTGCTACCTACATAGCCTTTAAGCTGTGAAGGAAATAATACAGATGTTCCTTGACTTATGATGTGGTTACATGACAACAAACCCACAGTAAACAGAAAATAGTGTAACTTGGTGGCGCCTGTGGCTCAGTGGATAGGGCACTGGACCCATATACCAAGGGTGGTGGGTTCAAACCCAGCCCCGGCCAAACTGCAACAAAAATATAGCAGAGCATTGTGGCGGGTGCCCGTAGTCTCAGCTACTCAGGAGGCTGAGGCAAGAGAATCACCTAAGCCCGGGAGGTGGAGGTTGCTGTGAGCTGTGTGACGCCATAGCATTCTACCGAGGGTGATAAGTGAGACTCTTGTCTCTACAAAAAAAAAAATAGTGTAAGTTGAACATGCCTTTAATAAACCTGATCTACTGAACACTATAACTCAGAGCCTAGCCTATCTTAAACATGCTCAGAATACTTACATTAGCCTATAGTTGGGCAAAAACATCTAACACAAAACCTATTTTATAATAACATGTTGGATATCTCACGTAATATAATTTATTGAATACTATACTGAAACTAAAAAACAGAATGATTGTATGAGTACTCAAAAGTATGATTTCTATGAATGTGTATCATTTTTGCACTATTACAAAGTAAAAAAAATCGTAAGTTGAATCACTGTAAGTCAGGAACTGTCTGTCTATGTCACATGTACCAACAGTCTCTAGCATTCCCAAGCTCTAGTGAGGAGTCATCAAAATGAGATATGGGATGAACAGTATCAGTTACAGAGTCAGAATACACAGATTCAAATATTAGGTCTAAAATTTATGAAGCCATGTTAGATAAACTGTTTAACCTGAGACACAAATCCTTTCTTAGTAAAACAATTTAAAATACCTTACTTTGTGGGAAATAAATCAGAATAAATAAATCACATAATATAACTGAACATGTTCAGTGGCATTCTTCATGTTATTACACGTTAAGCATCTCTAACCCCCAAATCCAAAGTACTCCAAAATTTGAAGATTTTTGAAAGTCAACAAGATACTAATAGGAAAAGCCACATTTCAGGTTTTCAAATTAGAGATGCTCAACTGGTTTCTGCAAATATTCTAAAATTCAAAAAATGTGAAATTCTTCTGGCCCCAAGTATTTCATACAAGGGATACTTAACCTGTAATTATTTTCACAGATGGTTAAGGAGTTAAATTTTAAATCAAAGACCATCAAGACCCATGGAATCAAGTACAAGTAGAAATAAGACATCAATGTACTAAACTAAACATTAAAAAATTGAAGAATAATTTACAACTACAGTGCTATAAACATTTTTGATAATATATTATTATTATTTTTTGAGACAGAGCCTCAAGCTATCCCCCTGGGCAGAGTGCCATGACATCACAGCTCATAGCAACCTCCAACTCCTGGGCTCAAGCGAGTCTCCTGCCTCAGCCTCCCAAG